AGTGCAAAAAAAAAGGAAGACCCGCATACACACACACACTGCCCTGACCGTTGGCTGACACCGTCCCACAGCATACAGTGCCTAAAGGGAACCGCCCAATGTGCCCGAGGCCACGCCTCTTCCACCCAAGTCCCCGCCCCCTCTGGAACTGGCCTGCAGCCACTACCAACATTGGCAAAAGTGGCATCCCTACAAAAATTATTGCCCACCCCTGTCCTGGGGCATGCATTGTTGAAATGAAACAGGTTCCAAGCCTAAAATAAAATGCAGGACAATGTAGCACTTTAAAGACTAACAAGATGGTTTATTAGATGATGAGCTTTCATGGGCCAGACCCACTTCCTCAGATCAAATAGTGGAAGAAAATAGTCACAACCATATAGACCAAAGGATACAATTAAAAAAAAGAACACATATGAAAAGGACAAATCACATTTCAGAACAGAACAGACATTTATCTCCCGCCCCCCCGCATCCCCGTTCTGTTCTGAAATTTCAGCTACACCAGACTAACACAGCTACATTTCTATCACTGTCTCCTACCCAGGAACTGTTGGTGTATTTCGCCATCTAATGGTGAGTAGGAGTGCCTAAAGGGATGAACCGTCATGGCAGGAGCAGCAACGCATTATGATGTTATTTTACAACTGCTTTCCAACGAACTGTAGGGGGGGATCTTTGTTCACATCTGGAGGAAGAGATTGTGAGGCAAAGGAAATTTTTAAAACATTGTCACATTGACACTGACAGCTGCTTTTCAACAGAAGTCGGGGGAAGGGAGGAGAGTGTGACAGGGAGCGTGGCGGGGTAAAGGGAGACAGTGTATTTTGGGGATGTCAGCATGATGTCTTGTACATTCAGACTGCAGCAGGAAACAATTCCTCCTGAGGTGGGGAGAGGAGGAAACCCCAACATCTCAGCCTCCTTTCCCGGCTCTTTGCCCAGCAATTTCTCTCTACACACACACAGACACACCTGCTTCTGGGCTCAAAAACACAAACGTTCCATCCGGCTGGTTGCTCTGTGTCCTGGGGCAAATCAGCGCCACCTGCAAGCCGGGCCAAACGGAGCTCTGAAAGGGGATCTGCGTGAGCCTGTAGGGCAGACCGGGTTCCAAAGAAAGAGCAGAGGGGACTTGAGGGATTATGGGCCATGTCTTCAGGCCAGTCACAATGCAACGAACAAGTCAAGTGTCCATGCTGGCCCCCCAGCGCAGTATCTAGAGCGCAGCAAACTCTATGCTTCTTGTCAAGGTGGTTTACCTAGGGCACAGCAACTGCAGAGCTAGTGCGCAGTGAGGGCATGTCTAGACTACATCCCTCTGTCGCCAGAGGGATGTAAATTAGACAAACCGACATTGCAAATGAAGTGGGGATTTAAATCTCCCACGCTTCATTGGAAACAAAATGGCCACTGCGTTTTGCCAAGTCAGCAGTTTGTCGGCTGTCAAGACGGGGATCGGGCGACAAAGAAAGCCTTTGTCGGCCGATCCCTTATGCCTTGTAAAACAAGGTTTACAGGATCGGCCGACAAACGCTTTCTTTGTTGCCCGATCCCTGTCTTGACAGCGGCTTTTTGCCAACAAACTGCTGACTCGGCAAAACGCAGTGGCCATTTTTATTCAAATGAAGCACAGGAGATTTAAATCCCCACTTCATTTGCAATGTCAGTATGTCTAATGGGATGTAGTCTAGACATACCCTAAGAAAGGGAATTCTCAGTACCACTTCAGATGATGGATTCTTCCTCGCTGGTGCCCTGTGTCCAGTTCCCGCCAATCACTGATACATCAGAGGAAAGGGAAAGAAACCCAGAAAACACCAGGCCCATTGCATACTGGGTAAAAAAAATCTTGCTGACTTCAGCTGGCAACCAGCTGAAGCACAGCGGTCCGGAGGGGGGTGCAGGGCCCGAGGTGGAAGTGACTTCTGGGATCGATCTATCATTTCTGGGGCCTACCACAGTGGCCAATCCACTAGCCCCCACAGTGCAGTTGCCCCAATTCACCGTCCGCTAGGGGTGGCTCTGAGCTGCCGTCTTTTTGAAGCCTGAGATTTGATGACAGTCATTGCCTGAATGCAGGGTTAGGAGCATGCAGGGGGCAATGCAGAACTTCCATTCTCTTCATGGCCATGGGAATGAATATTTGTCCCTCAGACCAAAAAAAAAAAAAAAATCTTACCGACAAAAAGCTTTGAAAACCATGATTGGTCCACCCTTCCACGCAGGTGCCTATGCGTAGAGAGGTAAGCACCCATCTGAGAAACACCTAGCCAGGATCAACCCTTTGAACAGAGGGAATGTGGGATGAATGCCATTGCCGTAAGTCAAGGGTGGAGAACCTCAGTCCCGGGGGCTGGAAGTGCAGCAGTGGGGAGACCATGCTGGTGCTCCAGTCCCCCACCTGCAGGACTGGAGTACACAAAATCTACTAGCCTGGGCCTCCCTAGGCTCTGGTATGCGAAAGGAACATGGGGAGGGTCTTTCTCCTTCTCAGTCAAGGGCATCTCACTTGGCTTCTCACTTGTGTGTGGCCCCGACTGATTTTTCTGTGTGTCAGTGGCCGCCCAGCCCAGATCCTTTTCTGTAGTACCCCTTTCTAGGCAGTCTTTTCCATTTTAGAACCACAGAAGATGAGGGCTGGAAGAGACCTCAGGAGTCGTCGAATCCAACTCCCTGCTCAAAGTAGGACCAACCCCAACTCAATCATCCCAGCCAGGGCTTGGTCAAGCTGGGACCTCAAAATCTCTCCTCGAAACCCTGAAAATGTAGAAAAGTGGAATCATAAATCGGAGGCTGACAATATACAACAGAGCTTTTCAATCAAATGCAAATCAGTGTGATTCCTCCCCTCCCCACCCCAAGGAGGGTTGGGTACATTGTTAACCACCCAATGTATGAACAGGGAAGCTTCTTTTCTCTTTGGGGGCATTTATTGTTAATGTTTCAAATGTATCATTTCCAGAGCAACACCTTTTTTTTTTACATTCCTTGCTATTTGCCATCTATTTTTATGTAGTAAATATGACTGTCAGCTTTGTTAAATGAAATTGTGGATGCCAAATATTTTGCTCAGAATAAGGTGGGTATCCAAAAAGCTATCCAGTGTGCCAGAAAGATGATGCATTCAAATCTCTTACATGTTAATCAGATCTACTCCTGTGAAGGAGCCTGGCGCTGCACCAATTCAGTCATTTGTTGTCATAAGGCGACTGGAAAAGATGGTCTAGCATCACTTTTCCCAGGGGCTGCCCAGAGCTCCGAGTTCTGATTCATCAGATCTAAGACCCCTATCACAGTATCAAGGGGGACCAACCTCTGTCCCTGAAAGGGTATGTCTATACTGCAACGTTTTTTCGGAAAAATGGCTGTTTTTCTGAATAAAGTCACTTACGTTCACACGGCAACTGCGCTCTTTCGACAAAAAATCGAAAGAACAGAAGGTTTTTTCCGACATTGGCAAACCTCTTTCAGAAAAAGGCGTGTGTGGACGGGGAAATGGGAGTTTTTCACAAGAAGAGGAAAGAGGAAAAAGCGCAGGTACCCTGGAGGCCACTCTGTCCATTGTATTCACTCAGTGTGGATGCTATCTTTCGAAAAAGCAGATCACTTTTTCGATGGGCTTTTGCTGTGTGGATGCTCTCTTTTGCAAGAAGTTTTTTTGGAAGCTCTCTTCCAGAAAAGCTTCTTCTGAAAGAAGCCTGCAGTCTAGACACAGCCGAAGAGACAAGCTTTTGAGTATACACAGGACTCTAAGTGCTAATCTGGAATTTGGCCGGTAAAGTTAAATATCCAAACTGCTGGAGATGGTGGGTAGGAATACACACATGAATGTGTAACTTCTCCTTCATACTGTTTTTATTGATTAATTGCTGGTTTTATCAGGGCCGGATTATCCATTAGGCACAATGTCTGGAGTCTATGAAAAGTTTAGGGCTTAAAAAAAATTCATAATTGACTCAAAAATAAGAAAACTGCTTACTCAAACTTAATACTTTGCTATCTTTAGTCAACAAACAACTGACAGGAATAACATACAATTAAATTTTAGGGCTGCATCTAGACTGGCAAGTTTTTCCGCAAAAGCACCTGCTTTTGCGGAAAACTGGCCACTTGAATTTCCGCAAGAACACTGACGATCTCATGTAAGATTGTCAGTGTTCTTGCAGAAATGCTATGCTGCTCCCGTTCGGGCAAAAGCCCTCTTGCGCAAATGATTTTGTGCAAGAGGGCCAGTGTAGACAATGCGGTATTGTTTTGCGCAAAAAAGCCCCGATCACAAAAATGGTGATTGGGGCTTTCTTGTGCAAAACTGCATCTAGATTGGCACGGATGCTCTTTTCCACAAATGCTTTTAACGGAAAACTTTTCCGTTAAAAGCATTTCCGGAAAATCATGCCAGTCTAGACGTAGCCATGGAGAAAGAATAAATAGAGGAGTGAATGGGAAGAAATGGCATTTCTCCCTTATATATTTTTATATAATCTAATCTAAAGGCCTATGATTATGAGAGTGCCTATGGCCAATGAAGACCTCAATCTGGCCCTGGGTTTTGTATCCTAGGCTATGTCTAGACTGCAAGCCTCTTTCGAAAGAGGCTTTTTCGAAAGATACTTTTGAAAAAGCCTCTTTCGAAAAAAAGCATCTAGACTGCAAGCGGAACTTTCAAAAAAGCAAGCCGCTTTTTCGAAAGGCAGTCTGGATGCTCTCTTTTGAAAAACCCCTGTTTGCATTCAAGAACGCCTTTTTTCGAAAGAGCACTTTCGAAAAAAGGCGTTCTTCCTCGTAAAATGAGGTTTACCACCGTCGAAAGAAAAGCCGCGTTCTTTCGATTTAATTTCGAAAGAACACAGCTGCAGTCTAGACACAGGTGAAGTTTTTTCGGAAAAAGGCTACTTTTTCAGAAAAAACCCCTGAGTCTGGACACAGCCCTAGTATGCTAACCCATCCCTATACCTTAAGCTTCAGAGCCCACACCTGAATCACAACGTCTACCTGCTGTCTTTTTAGAGCGCTAGCGTGAGCCCGCTACCCCCAAGTCTATTGATCTGGGCTGGGACACTCATCCCCTCTCACTGCAAATGCTTGTCGATGTCCTCAGAGGCTCCTGGCGCAGAGCTGAGACCACTCTTGGCGCTATGTAAGTCACATCCTGTAGTGGCAGAAGAACAATTCCTATGATTTCATCTTTATTTAGCCTTACACTTTTTAGAACTTCAGATAATTTCTCCTGTAGTAACTAGGAAGTGATAAATCGCCCCTTTATGAGTGCGAAAAATCAATTGTTATTTGACATTTTACCTTAATATTACCAACTTCCTTCAACTGCAATAAAGAATCCATCTGCTTTTTATTTTACAGGCAATTAGTAAGTCACCTCTTTTTAATTTCTTCACATTTTCTATCAAACCAACTCTAGAATTAAAAAGAGAAAAGCCGTTTTATGGCACTGAACTTATTGAGCAGGATGGATTTATCTGTAACCCTCTAGGTACCAACATTTATTAATGGCTTTTATTGATCCATGTGAGCTTTTCAACCCTTAACAAAAATATAGACATCACTGGCCCAACGCTGGGAAAACTGGGATTTTCCTTGCACAATTCTAAACCATGCACATGCTAGGAGACAGGCAGCCCTGGGTAGAATTGGGATGCTACATTAGCTTCTCAAATATGGCTCTGTCAGTGCTGCTTAATTCTCTCTTCCTGCCCTGCTACATCATCCAGTTCACAAAGCATTTCCCAACTGATTGGCACCTGCACAGAACTGGGGGCTCCATGCCCAAAACAGCTGTTGCAAAAAAGCAAACATGATTCCGGGCTGCATTAACAGGAGTGTTTTGAGTAAATCACAAGAAGTCATTCTTCCACTCTCTTCTGCATTGCTTAGGCCTCAGTTGGTGTATTGTATCCAGTTTTGGGCACCACATTTCAAGAAAGATGTGGAGAAATTGGAGAAGGTCCAGAGAAGCACAACAAAAATGATGAAAGGTCTAGAAAACATGAGCTATGAGGAAAGACTGAAAGAACTGGGCTTGTTTAGTTTGGAAAAGAGAAGACTGAGAGGGACATGAGAGCAGTTTTCAAATATCTAACGGGTGTTACAAGGAGGAGGGAGAAAAATTGTTCTCCTGGGCCTCTGAGGGTAGGACAAGGAGCAATGGGCTTAAATTGCACCTTAGGTTGGACATAAGAACATAAGAAAGGCCATACTGGGTCAGACCAAAGGTCCATCTAGCCCAGTATTCTGTCTGCCGACAGTGGCCAGCACCAGGTGCCCCAGAGAGGGTGGACCGAAGACAATGATCAAGCGATTTGTCTCCTGCCATCCCTCTCCAGCCTCTGAAACAGAGGCCAAGGACACCATTTTATCCCCTGGCTAATAGCCTTTTATGGACCTAACTTCCATGAAATTATCTAGCTTCTCTTTAAACTCTATTATAGTCCTAGCCTTCACAGCCTCCTCTGGCAAGGAGTTCCACAGATTGACTACACACTGTGTGAAGAAGAACTTTCTTTTATTAGTTCTAAACCTGCTCCCCATTAATTTCATTTGGTGTCCTATAGTTCTTGTAGTTAGGGAACTAATAAATAAGGGTATGTCTACACTACCCCCACTACCCATGAGGCGTACAGCTAGTTCGGATAGGAAGCCTAATCCGAACTAGCTAGTCCGTGCTGCGTGTAGCCGTGTGGCACGGGGTCCGACCTAGCCAGCATTTAAAAATGGCGCCGGCCGGTTTTATGCAAATGAAGCCCGGGAAATTCAAATCCCGGGCTTCATTTGCAACTCCATATGACTACATTACCCCCCCCTAGTTCGAACTAGGGGGGTAGTGTAGACATACCCTAACTTTTCTTTATCGGCCCTCTCCACACCACTCATGATTTTATATACCTCTATCATATCCCCCCCTCAGTCTCCTCTTTTCTAAACTAAAAAGTCCCAGTCTCTTTAACCTCTCCTCATATGGAACCCGTTCCAAACCCCTAATCATTTTAGTTGCCCTTTTCAGAACCCTTTCCAAGGCCAAAATATCTTTTTTGAGGTGAGGAGACCACATCTGTACACAGTATTCAAGATGTGGGCATACCATAGTTTTATACAGGGGCAGTAAGATATTCTGGGTCTTATTTTCTATCCCTTTCTTAATAATTCCTAGCATCCTAGGAGACTGGATTCGGCAACCTCTCGAGATCCCTTCCATTTCTAGTGTTCAATGATTCTATAACTGAGAGCAGGGCCAGTGTATGTAGGAATGATGTGTCTGTCTGCTGAAATGCAGCCACCTCTGTGGTGGAACACAGCAGCTGTTAAATAGTGCACCACACTACCATTGAGAACAGACAGTGAAAAAGAATCCCATGTCCGGTTAAACTTGCAGCGGGAAGTTTAGGGCTCCATTTTGCTGGGCACTGCTCTTCAGTCCTTGGGGTTTGTCACAAATCGAGCACTCTCTTCCACGGCGCCTCCTGCTGGTCACTCAGGGAATCAGCCCTCCTGACTCTGCTGGTCAGTGTCTCAGCCTCTGTTCCATGTCTTCTGCGGGTTCAGCCCTGTGTCCCTTTCTGCCCATGGCGCCCTTTCCTCCTAGTACTGTCCTGTGCCAGCGCCCCCGCACTCTGGGGTCCTCCTCTCCCAGGGGACCCCCAGCCCCTATGCCCACCTTGCCTCAGTGAACCATTGCCAGTCATCATCTAGCCCCTGCCTCAGGGGCAAACTGCAGTCAGAAATGGCCACTCATCATTGGCATGAGAGTGTGGACCTGCTGCCTCCCTGCAGCCCTAGTACCTTCAGGCCTTGCCTCAGGCACTGCAGCCTGGGAGTGAGGTCAGGTTAGAGCTTCCCAGCTCTGCCTGCCTTTCCCCAGCCCTGCTCCGTCTTAGGAAGCCTCCAGCTTCCCCGACAGCCAGGTCCCTCCTGCTCCACAGCTGGAGCAAAGCGATAGAAATGTAACCGTGTTAGTCTGGTGTAGCTGAAACAAAAGACAGGACTATATAGCACTTAAAAGACTAACAAGATGGTTTCTTAGGTGAGGAGCTTTCGTGGGCCAGACCCATTTCCTCAGATCAAATAGTGGAAGAAAACTGGCACAACCATATATACCAAAGGATACAATCAAAAAAATGAACACATATGAAAAGGACAAATCAAATTTCAGAACAGAAGGGGAATGAGGGGGGAGGTAAATGTCTGTGAGCTAATGATATTAGAGGTGATAATTAGGGAAGCTATCTTTGTAATGGGTAAGATAATTAATGTCTTTGTTTAGACCTAGACGTAAAGTGTCGAATTTAAGCATGAATGACAGTTCAGAGGATTCTCTTTCAAGGTGTTAAAAGGTTTTTGAAGCAGGATGCAGGTAATCAAGTCCTTGAGACAATGCCCTTTCTGGTTGAAATGGCAAGAAACTGTTTTTTCTTTGTGATCCTGTCTAATATCTATTTGGTGGGCATTGATTCTTTGGCGAAGTGTCTGAGATGTTTGTCCAATGTACATAGCAGACGGACACTTTCGGCACATGATAGCATAAAGCATATGTCTGGATGAGCAGGAATATGTGTTCTTGATCTTGTAACTCAATTGGTTAGGTCCAATAATGGTGTTAGCAGAGTGAATATGTGGACAAAGCTGGCAACAGGATTTGTTGCAAGGGAAGGTTCCAGGGTTGGTATTCGTGTGGTATGTCCTGTGGTTGTTGGTAAGAATCATCTTGAGGTTAGGTGGTTGTCTATAGGAGACTATGGGTCTGTCTCCCAGAGCCTCTCGGAGTTTAGTATCCTGTTCCAGTATAGGTTGTAGTTTATTGATAATGTGTTGGACAGGTTTAAGTTGGGGGCTGTAGGTGATGACATGTGGTGTTCTATTGTTGGTTTTCTTGGGTCTATCTTGAAGTAGATGGTTTCTAGGTATTAGTCTGGCTCTTTCAATTTGTTTTTTAATCAAGAGTGTGTTCTCCTCCACTCCAGAAGCCTTTATTTATATAGCCCCAGCTGGGTCCTAATTGGCTGCTACCTGCCTCAGCTGCGGGCTCCACCATCTCAGCCCTCTTCCTGGGCTGGGTTTTAACCCTTATAGGCCCAGTGCAGGGCAGACATCATATCACAGTGTTCAACATACAGCTCTGCTGATGCTCCTCCAACCCAACCCATTGCCCCTCCTGCTATTGCTTGTGTTTGTGTCATGAATAAACCTCCACGATGGTAGACAGAAGACAACCAACTCCCTTTGTTTGTGGACCATTTGGCTTCTCTGAAATCCACCCCCTCTGGGACATCCAGAACCATCCTGACAAAATGACCTTTGCTAATCCGATCACGTCACGGTCCTGTTTGGCTCAGACCTCACCATCTAGTTATTAGAAGTTCTCAGCAGGTGGGTTTTGTTTCTAGAGAAAATTTCAATAAAAATGTTTCCAACAAAATTTTCCCTCTGAAATTTCAGGTTTTGATCAAAAAGCAATGTTTTCCCCCCAGCAACTGCTTGTTGTTTTTCCAACTAAAAGTAGGAAAAGTAGGAAAAAATCAATTTGCCACTTAGCAAGATGCCACCATTCCTCAAATTCTGGCCTGGCTCTCACAACAAACTTCATTTCGAGTTCAAAAGCACCATGACACTTAACCTCACCAAGGGAATGCTCAGGTGATGGAACACCAGCAAAACAGTTGGGCATTTCTTGGGCTCATCCTCCCTCTGGAATCTGCTTTGTTAAATACTGAATCCATCAACCTTGTTCTAGCAGATGCCGATAGCACGTACAACCGCAAAAAACCTTTCAAATCCACTCATTTGCCGGCCACTTTCTGCTGTGTTCTAATGAGGCCCTTGATAATAGTTATAATTTTCAGTGGGGTTGAGGGCCAAGGTGAAGCAGATTTATATGAGAGGTGGCTGTATAAATAATCTTCATGGGTTAGTATTATACATTTTATTCCTTCTGCCTATTTTGCTAGAAAGACACGAATATTCCAGATCGTCATTTCAGAAATGATTTATCCCCAGTTACAGCTTTAATGTAAGTGACCCGTATGTCTAATTAATCAGATTTAGTTTTATGATGTAAAGATTCTTTCTTCTTTTTACCAGGTTTTAGCTTCTTGTACCCAAGGATTTTTCCTCCCCCAGAATAAGATCCATTTCACACCTAACACTTCAAACTTCTAGTTTCCAGGGCTCTTTCAATCCACCTTCAGTCCTTTTGTAGTATAAACTTACCAAGCAAGAATGGGACAGGGAAGAGAAGGCCCACAACAATATCTCTCCTACTTTCATACAACTCCTACCCCCTTAAAAAAACCCCACTTCCTAAATGGGAAGTTTCCTCCAGAATTCACTCATTTAGAAGGCTGATCTGAACCTAACCTCATTGAGGGCACAATAATCTACTTTATATTTGAGAGAGTTTGTCCATCTGTCTATCTGTCTGTCCATGTGTCTGTTTGTTCAAGAACTCCTCTTGACAATAAGAGCTAAGACCACCAAATTTGGTACGCAGTTTCTGCTTATCATAACTTAATCTTGGTATTCATGCCCGTCAGTGTGAAATAAACTATTTGCATATATATTTGCACGTATATGCAACCACACTTAAGTTGCGGCCCTCGGCATGTTCTATGAATATCATTGCGGTCCCCGAGGCTTCCAAAGTTTAGTAGCCCAGGCCTTCTTTTTGGCACTCAGCAAAATCTGAATTTCACCTCATGTGGAAATCCTTCCTGGATGTATATTTCTTTGCATTAGGTTCAAGCCGTTCCTGCAAACAGGATGATTTGGATAATGGCAGCCGCAGCAGATGAACTCTTCAGTGCAAATCCTGACTAAATGCAAAAATCTCTAGCGCTAAAAATAGAGGTGATGAAACAGGGCAAGATCATCCATTGGCAGACTTTTCCCTATGCCGTTTTGTTTTGCAATGTTTCCCATGGTGCTGCATTCTCTTTACAGGTCTGCCTGGTGCACATGCTGTGCGCGACTTTCCCCAAAACGGGTGTGCCTTGGATGCGTGTAAATAGATATCGATTTGTTTATCCGGAGCTATAAAAAGCGGCTCGAAGAGGTTGAACATTCTGTTCCTAGCTTTTCCTTGGGGGATGCCGCGGTTCCTGTTGCCTGAGTGTGGTCTGATGCAAACAGCAGATGAGCGCTCGGATCTGCCAAAAGCTGAGCTAATTTGGAATTTTTTAATAAATTTGCCCACCATCACTGCTTCACTCCTCAGCGGCTGATCCTCAACACCTTCCTGTTGCTACACAGAATCGGGAGCGTCCTGTCTGGGACCCACCCTGGGTGAGGTTCAGTTCTTAACTGTCAGTTTCCATTGGCGTGAGCCAATGGATTGCACTATTCTGCGATCATTTGTGTTGGTCAATGGTCTCCTGCTTCTAAGAATAAAGGTGAAGCCAAGACGTTGCTTGTTATTATGACCTTGCAGGGGAAGGGGCATCCTCATCTTTACAAGGTAGAAGGCCTTAAAGCCAAAAGGAAATTGAAAGAATGGAGACAACATTAAAATGTGAGCAACGGCGTCTGGACTTGTAAGCAGAGATCTTTGTTCCTTTAGCTCCCGGTCCCTGATGCCGCTGAACGCAGTTTGCTTCCTGCAGTCACTGAATCGGAAGCCCGGCGTATGGACTTTTTCTCTTTTGTTTTTTGAACAACAGAACAAAATGGCAGGCTTTCAAGGCAAATAAAGCACGGGTACGACTCCAGATGGTGATATGCCGAGCCAAGGAAAGCAAACACAGGGCATGCAGATCCTGCCAGCAGCTCACACAAGTATACAAATACATACGCGGCAGTAAGCCCAATTTAACCAAATGCCCTATGTCCAACCTTACAGGAAATGGATCCGATTTTCTTCTGGTGTAAATCCGTGCTGCTCCACTGACTTTAAAGGAGTTTTGTCCATTTGTAAGAGTAGGGAATATGGCTTAATGGCTTGTACTATGGAAAAAAGACTGCATGGAAGCCAGCTTCTCTCTGTAGGTCCCTCTCTGCGGCCTGCATAGCATAATCATTCACTCATTCATCTGCCAGAGCCAGGAGCTTTTCGGTCATCAGCGTATTCCATCCCTTATTAATCTGCTTTTGTTAGGAGGAGCCGAGGTAAATCTTGCCACAATACATCCATATTTGTAAGACAGAATCATCGGGCTGAAAGGGGCTTCAAGCCATCAAGTCCAGCCCTTCGCGCCATGACAGGACCAAATAAACCTCGCTTAAAGGTGGACAATAATTTTCGCAGGGGGGCTACTTAGGTCATGGACTGGCTCCACCCCCAGAAGGGGTGGGGCTTGGGCAGAAGGGGTGGGGCTGGGGACTAGCTTCCCCCTAGAGTTGTCTGGATCCGGAGGCTTTGAATTAAAAACACAGCAAAGAGCTCGCGGCTCCTGGCCCCGCTGCTACCTCATTGCTTGGCAGCTGTCCAGGGTTACAGCGGCTATTTAAAGGACTCACAGCTTCCGCCCCAGTTGCCTGAGCCACCGCCTGGAAATTCAACAGCACAGGCAACAGGACATAAATAGAAAGTGGCCAGATGCAGCCCACGGGCCAGATCAAAGGGTTAGGTGGGCCAAATCTGACCCCCAGGCCACCTTCTGCCCAGCCCTGACCTAGACTCTCCCCAAAAGATGTTCATACATCCAACCTGTTCTTGAAAACCTCCAGCGGATGAGGATTCCACCATCTTCCTAAGCAGCCTATTCCAGTGTTTACCGATCAAAACAAAAGGAAATTTCTCTTCACTCAGTGCACAGTCCATCTGTGGAACTCCTTCTGGAGGATGTGGTGAAGACTAGCACTTTAACTGGATTTTAAAAAGAGCTAGATAGAGTCATGGAGGTTAGGTCAATCAATGCCTATTAGCCAGGATGGGTAGGAATGGTGTCCCTACTCTCTGTCAATGGGTGACAGAAGAGGGATCACCTGTTGTGTTCCCTCCCTCTGGGGCATCTGGTAATGGCCACTGTCAGCAAACAGATACTGGGCTAGATGGACCTTTGGTCTGACCCAGTATGGCCGTTCTTATGCATCTCCCTTGCTGAGGATTAAGCCCATCACTTCTTATCCTGCATTCATTGGACTTGGAGAACAATGGATAAGCGTCCTCTTTATAACAACCCTGAACATATTGGAGGGCTGTGATCAGGTATCCCCCAACCCAACTTCTTTTCTTAGAACTAACGATGTCCCATTTTTTAAACTTCCCACATAGGTCAGGTTTTTTTCTGTTGCTCTCTGGACTCTCTCCAATTTGTCCACAACATTCCTAACATGTGGGGCAAATCTGGTACCAGTGTCGAGCAGAGAAGGAGAATGATCTCTTATGCCTTATATATGATGCTCCTGTTAATACTCCTCATCTCAGGAATGATATTCAGACCTTTTTCATCTAGTGCAGTGTTTCTCAACCAGCGGTACGAGTACCCTTAGGGGTACCCGAGAGAAGTCTGAGGGGGTATGTCAACACAACTGAAATTTGGAGAAAACTGAATTTTTGTTTTAAGTTTTACAGCACTTTCTTATTTTTGTACTTTTTACACCCAAAAAGTTCATCACCCGCCTGGCTATGATTACGTTGTTTCAACAAATGTGTTGCAATGGTAGAAAAATAATTTGTGTGTCTGAAAACTGTAGGTACTGGGGGTACTATAATTTTTTTTTGAAAAAGGGGTACTTTATAAAAAAAGTTGAAAAACACCGTGCATAGGTCCCTAGTTTGCTTATGAGATTATCGTGTGCGACTATTTCAAAAACCTTACTAAAATCAACATATATCACATATTCCCCCATTCTCTAGGCCAGGAACTTTGTCAAAGAAGGAGATTAAGGTATTTGGCCTGATCTGTTCTCGACAAACCCAGGCTGGGTATTGCCTATAAAGCTATCATCCGCCAGGTGCTTCTGAATTGATTATTTAATAATTCGTTACAGCATTTTTCCATACATTGATGTTAGGCTGTTTTGGTCTATACTTCCTCTTTGGTCCTCTTCTTAATGACAGAAGCTCTCTTCTTCTGTTTCTAGAAGTTCTAGAGAAAGACCAAACAGAGATGACCTTGCAATATTTGGTCATTTGTTCCATATAATAATTAATCACGTTTAATTGATGTTATGATGAAGCACTCATTCTTACAGATAGGACCTAATTCATGTTTAGTGTAGAGCCCAGTAAAATTAGAGCAAGGATTAATTTTTCATTGGTAGTGTCTCTCCCACCACTACCCAAAATTCCTAATCCATTATGCTGAAAATACAATAGTAATATAATGGCCTGGTCTCTTTCAGGGCATGTCTATACTAGGAAATTAAATAAATAACTAAAATCGATTTAATAACTCCTGAAATAAAAAAATCAAAATAGTGTGTCCACAGTACGGGGAAGGCTTGAAATTAGTCTGAGGAAGGTTCAGTTAACGTGGATGTGCTACCTCGACTTAGAGCCCCAGGAAGCATGGGGATTAATTAGTTCGAATTACTCTGGGAGTCGTTATTTCAATGTCACACACATGCTATTTCAAAAAACTATTTAAAAATTAGCGTTATTCCCTGTGGAAAGCAGGAGTACAGATTCTGAATTAACCAGCCTGTTATTTCGAAATAACCAGCTTGATAGTGTGGGTGCTACCCTTATAAATTCGACCTAAGGGGGGTTATTTTGAAATAACTCCCTAGTGTAGACTTGGGCTCAGACCACTAAAATCTTGCAGCACTTTCATTGTGTAATATGATTAGGAAGTTTCCAATGGATGTTTCTTTTCCCCCCATACAGAATTATTGTCCTTATAATATTTCCCCCAAGTTTAAGCAAACTATATTTACAGTCTCCCACTTTTCCTTCTCTTTTTGGCTGCTGATGCTATCTGTCCTTGAGATACATTGTCATCACCGTTGCTCTGAACACATTTTGGTGTTTCCTGTACTTGAAACTGGTTTCCCACTAGTCTAAAGCCATCAAATCTAATTAATACCGGAAATATTGACTTAGTTCTAAGAGAAACATTATCGTTAAATTAGAATTCTTGAGATAGTGATGTCAGCGCCCAGCTGCAGAGCGAGTCAGACACTAAACCTCCGTCAAGTCTCAAATGAACCTACTGAACAAAGGGGAAAAAGCTCTGTTTCTCTGCAGAGCGGTTTAACGGCACAGCTCACGCTGACTTTCACACAGAGCCCGTGGACTCGAATGACGCCCTGCTGACTTGAATGGGGGTTGTGTGGCTAAAACCATGCCCAAAGCTTTGAAAATGCAGTGGGGGGAACTGAAGAAATGTAAAGATTGTGAAAATCCTGGCAGGAGAGGAGGGATAAAAAGTAGAAGACAGAAGAATAAATTGGATGGATGGACTGAGGCAGAAAAGTGGGGGATGAAAGGAGAATGTGAGAGAAGCTATTTAGATACTCTGCTTTGCATTGTGAGATGGAGAACGCTAGCAGAGAATAAGGGGCATCGCTACGTCTTCCTCCTCGTCACTGTCCAGCCAAGGGGTTCTCAAACTTTTTTTCTCATGACCCAGTTGAAGAAAACTAGATGCTGCGACCCAACAGAATTTGACTAGGGGCTGAGGATGAGAGCTGTGGGGTGAAGGAGGCAGCTCTGGCTTTGGGAGGGGGGCAGGAGAGGCTTACGTTGAGCGGCTCCCGGTTAGCGGTGAAGTGGGGGGGCTAAGGCAGCTTCCTGCCTCTCCTGGAACCACAGACCAGGCTGCGCCCCTAAAGCAGCCAGTAACAGATTTCCAGATGGGAGTGCAGAGCTAGTGCTCGGGGCAGGGGTAATGCACAGAGCTCTCCTACACCTTAGCACTCCCCTAATTCCTTTGCAGCTCGGAGACCCAGCTCCTGACATTCCACGCCCCAGTACTGGGTTGTGACCCAGAGGCTGTGTCTAGACTGGCAAGTTTTTCCGCAAAATCATTTGATTTTGCGGAAAAACTTGCCAGCTGTCTACACTGGCCGCTTGAATTTCCGGAAAAGCACTGACGACCTCATGTAAAATCATCAGTGCTTTTCCGGAAATACTATGCTGCTCCCGTTCGGGCAAAAGTCTTTTTCCGAAAGACTTTTGCGCAAAAGGGCCAGTGTAGACAGCACAGTAGTGTTTTCCGCAAAAAAGCGGCGAAAATGGCGCTCGGGGCTTTTTTGCGGAAAACCGCGTCTAGATTGGCCACAGATGCTTTTCCGCAAAAAGTGCTTTTGTGGAAAAGCATCTTGCCAATCTAGATGTACTTTTTCTGAAAATGCTTTTAACGGAAAACTTTTCTGTTAAAAGCATTTTCCGAAAAATCATGCCAGTGTAGACGTAGCCAGAGCGTGCAAACCCTTAGCCAAGCAGGAGAGTGGTCTCACAGCCACACTGTTTCGGTGTAGTTTAGAAACTGAAATAAGATTGGGAAAAAATGAGGTTTTGTAACAAGTGTCTCCGAATGAGATGTTTTGTTTTCTTCCATGCTGTCCCAGAACTCTGCGCTCTGACCTCGCCATCTCTTTCTGTGCTCAAAGTGCTGCATCTGGCTAATCAAGGGAAAGAAAGAACTCTTGCTTTAATTGCAGGACTTGAGGAATTCAAATGGGATCTGCTACCTATTCACTTTAAAAAAGCACCCTTCCTCTCTGTTTCCCTCCTAGAACTGGACTTGCTCATGTTGATTAACAGAGGCGTATGCAGAGCATCTCACGTAGCCAATGAACTGATGTGGCTTGTTTCCATTAATGAAAGTGCTAAGTTTTGCTGATTTCAGGAGTCTTATTTATTATTTACAGCAGAACTGGGGAATCTTTTTGGGGTCGGGGGCCGCTGACCTACAGAAAAATCAGTGGGGGCCGCACACGAGAGAAGCAAAAAAAACCCCTCAAAACCAACCCCCTCCCAGCACTCACTGATGTGGCCCCTGAAGGAGAAAGACACTCCCCACACATTCCCCTCACACACTAGAGACCAGCCTAGTAGATTTTGTGTGCTCCTGCCCCGCAGTTGGACAGGAAGGGGGCTGGTGAGCCAGCATGGGCTCCCCAAAGCCTCGAGGGCCAAATCCAGGCAAGCCAGGGGCCACGTCCGGCCCACACGCCTGAGCATCCGCACCCCTTATTTACAGATTCAGACATCCAAGGGAAATGGGGGAGGGGAAAAATGTCTGAAAACCCTGGAAGTGCCACAAAATTGAGCCTATTTCTTTTTTAAAAAGTGTGTCCAGGCAGGCACATCATTCATCCTTATCAGAGGGGCGGCCGGGTTAGTCTGTGTCTGCAAAAAATAACAAGGATTCCTGTGGCATCTAAGCTCTGTCTACACTAAGGAGCTATTTCAAAATGACCCCTCTTAGGTGTTAGTGGAGCATCCACATGACCAAGCTGGTTATTTTGAAATAACAGGCCGCTTGATTCAAAATTTGTATCCTGCTTTTCATCAAGAATAGTGTTAATTCCGAAATAATTATTTTGAAATCAGAGTACTGTGGATGCTCCAGTGCTGCTATTTTGAAATAACTACTCCCCAGAGTAATTCAAACTACTCCCCAGCGCTTCCTGGGGCTCTACATCTGAAATAGCACGTCCACATTAACGGAGCCTGCCTCGGACAAATTTTGAGGTTTCCCTATAGCGAGGCTTCCCTATAGCGAGGACACACTATTTTGCATTTGTTAAATTGGGAGTTATTAAGTTGAATTTAGTAATTTCAAAATAGTTTCCTAGTGTAGACATGGCCTTAGAAACCAGCTGATTCATTTGAGCAGAAGCTTTCATGAGCAAAACCCCACATCCTCAGACACGTGGAGTGGAAATTACAGAGGCGAGCATAAAATATACACATTTATTTACAAAAGTACAGAGACAAATGTAAGAAATACTTATGACTGCCTCTGTAATTTCCACTTCATGTGGAAGTGGGGTATTGCCCACCAAAATCTTATGCTGGTTAGTCTTTACAAAGAAATCATTTCCATGAATTACGATAGGGTAGCCAAAAAGCACAAAAAAATCCCATGGACCATCACATCAGTGCTTTCTATTACAAAGCCGATCTTTACCTTAAAGCACTCTATATACAGCTTTGCTGATACAGTATTCATAGATGGACCAGAGAGATGTACGTTTGAGCGCTGCTGTAGGGTATGCCACTGGGCATGCTCATTAAAAAACTTTAAGAGCTTAAAAAAAACAACAGCCACAATATTTACCTATGAGGCAGTGAATGCCATGGATTAACTATTTGCTGCTTCCTTTGATCAATTATGTATTTTCTGCTTCTTATCGCTCTTCAGGGTCTTCTTGCTCTTGATTCTGCAATGTGTTAAGGATGCACAAGTGAGGGGCATATTCCTAGCTCCAGGGATCCCTGCTGCTCACCAGAGGGGTGAGAAATAGATCAAGAGAGCTGCAGGGTGCAACAAAGCACCCACAAATTTCTATCCTGAGCTGTGAGAGAGAAGCAGAAGTTTAGCTTGATCTATTCCTGAGCTCTGTGACTGCAGTGTAAGAATTATTTTGTATGGGGGGTATCTCCTGCACAAAGACAAACCCTCATGTGCTGCCAGTCAACAAATATCCTTTTATGCCAAAAATGGAACAAACCAGATGATGTTAAACACAAAGGCTACGTCTACATTGGCCCCTATTCCATAATAGGGATGCTAATGTAGCACTTGGGAATAGGCAAATCCGCGGGGGATTTAAATATCCCCCG